CAATTATTAATTCTAGCAAGAATAATCCTTACTTTTTATTGCTGTATGACAATAATAATAATATTACAATTAGTTATTAACAGAAAATCTTCTCACAATTATTAATTCTAGCAAGAATAATCCTTACTTTTTATTGCTGTATGACAATAATAATAATATTACAATTAGTTATTAACAGAAAATCTTCTCACAATTATTAATTCTAGCAAGAATAATCCTTACTTTTTATTGCTGTATGACAATAATAATAATATTACAATTAGTTATTAACAGAAAATCTTCTCACAATTATTAATTCTAGCAAGAATAATCCTTACTTTTTATTGCTGTATCAATCATTGTTTCAACCTCCACGTTTACCTGACCCAGGAAAACTTTCACACAGTCTGATAGGAAGGAATGCAAAGGACAGTGATTTCTGTAAACACAGTTTGTTTTTTTTTCACTGCAGTTCAACAAGCTTTAAGTTAATTAAAATATGTTACACTAAGACGTATAACTGAAAATGTGCTTAGTCTCAGTCAGATAGATAAACTTCACCATAAATAGGCCTTACCTTAGCCTTTAAATCAAAAAGTTACGCTACACAAAAGGTGTAACCCATAAATAAATACTTACAGTAACAATAGCCAAAAACCACTCTTGTTTCTTTCAGAACTAAAGAAGTGTAGGAAAAATTTAGCAGGGTTATGAAATTAATTTAATGAGGTGGTGGAACACAAGTGTTTAAACACCAAATGTTGTCTTTTTTTAAACATATTTTTTTACACTAAATGGCTTTTTGATCAATAAAATTGTTGGATACAGGGACACTAACAACACACAAGTGACAGTTGGATACGGGGACACTAACAACACACAAGTGACAGCTGGATACAGGGACACTAACAACACACAAGTGACAGTTGGATACAGGGACACTAACAACACACAAGTGACAGTTGGATACGGGGACACTAACAACACACAAGTGACAGTTGGATACGGGGACACTAACAACACACAAGTGACAGTTGGACACAGGGACACTAACAACACACAAGTGACAGTTGGACACAGGGACCACTAACAACACACAAGTGACAGTTGGATACAGGGATACTAACAACACACAAGTGACAGTTGGATACAGGGACACTAACAACACACAAGTGACAGTTGGATACAGGGACACTAATAACACACAAAAATACCATCAAGACTGTAGTTTATCTCACTAATTTCTGCTATTGTTTGTGGCCAGTTCTTTACATTGATTGTTATAACAACAGAAGTTACTCAATACAATAACATTGTTCCAGCAGTGCTCTATATAAAACAAGCAAATAATTTAAGGGTTAAGTTCACAACCTCTCGAATCCTACTACCATTCACAAACTACTAATCCACCTGTTGTAGCTTTAAAAAGGTTTTGTAACTAGTGTTTTAAACAGTCTGATATATTACCTAGTTAGCTTCATAAAATAATGTATCAGACGAAAAAAGTAATGAAAATGTTCTGAAATACATTTTCATCCAAATTAACCTTTTTATATTTTAACTAAAAAAATCTTATATAGAATACTGGATGGACAAGTGACTAACCAAGTACAATTACACAATACACAAGTATATAAAGTTTACAAATATATAATTATACAATACATAGACCACAAGTACGTAAAGTTTACAATTAAATAATTACACAATACACAGACCACAAATATATAATATAAAGTTTACAAATAAATAATTACACAATACATAGACCACAAGTATATAATATCAAGTTTACAAATTCATAATTACTGAATATACAAACAACAGGTATACATTACAATAAGACATTAAATAATTAGTTTAATAACCGTATTAATTATATATAACTTACCCAGACTTCAGCTCCAAAGCATTTTCTATTTCAACAATGAATTTAGACAGTGGCTTGAATATAACTGTAAGAGTTAATCCCTGGTGTTGTAGCATAATGCTTGATGCCAAGATTATTCGTATTCATCAATAATAATAAAGTTTAATTAAATTTTGAATGTAGCTCATTAAAATGTTGTGACATGCACACTTTGACCTTTCCATAATGGAAGGGTTAAGCTTAGTTAGAAAGCTGGCTATATTACAATACTTATAGGACATTGTTTGTTTTATGTACGTTATTATTCTGTGTCCTTCACTGTATTGTTTAATTAAACACAAAACTGATGACAACTGGGTTTAACATACAAGGTGGAGTATGTTATATTAATTAATATATTCTGTAAATCAGAAAGTTATAGGACAACAACTAAAGCTCATATAAAGACTCAGTGATACAGCATGTATCAGAACTATATTTTGAAATAGTTTGCCTTTCAGTTTGTGTGATACCACTGAAAACTGATTGCTCTTGGAAGAATATCTAAGGGTCCTTTCTGACACAAAAGATTCAAACACTCAGATTATAAAGACGTGTTGTTCAGCTAGTAGATTTAAAGGTTCCAAAACAGGAATATCCCTTGTACTTTATTACAATGGATTAACTTGGGACACCAGTACCACCCAGAAAGAGACCTGCAAAAAGTCATACACCAGTGGTGGTAAGCAAAGTGCAACATCTTGTAACAGGTGAGAATCCATTAATACAAAAGCTGACCACTTGTGCTAAGCAGTATTATGCAATATAACCAAGAAAGATCTTCACATGGAAATGAGGCCAACAAAATAAGAGTTCACCAAGATAAAGCTACTGGGAATACCTCCACTCAACCATTGCATACCTCAAGCAGCTGAGTAATGAAATGGATATTCAAGCTATTCCACGTGAGGAGATACCAGTCAAGTTGCCAGACACAGTGCCTATAGATTTCTGTGTGATCAAACTGTTGAAACTAGTAATGGAAAAATCAGTCCTCATACACTAGACGGATAATGGAAAGTATGTAGGGAGGGATGGTGTGCTTTGGACATGACACTTTTACAGAGATCCGTTTGCAATGGAAACTGCACTACAAGGAAGACAGAGAGAGTATAACTGGACATGGCAACATGGATTGTAATGATATGGTGAAGTTTCAAAATCATTTTAATACAAAATACTTAACTCTGTATTAAGTAACATATACATAGTTTAAATAGAAGCTTGTGATACATAAATCTTAAAAATATTTCCATCAAGAAACACAAAAGTACCATGAAATACCTTAAAACGTACATTAGGCACTCTACCAGTGGCATTATAAAATACATTCAAATAAATGCAACTATTTATTCACAGCTAACTATTATCTGTATTCACATTATGCATGAATGCCGTTTTACCTGTAATATTCTTTGTTGTTGGCTGGCAAACGAGAATTTGTTGTCCAGAGTCCAGAGCACGACATGGATCATTCTGGAGAGAGAGAGAAAGAAAGAAAGATAAATCAAGCAGATAACTAAAAATTATGGAAGGAACACTTCATTTAATCTGTTGTGACGTCTGTCCAATAGTAGTGTTCGTGATTATGAAACCCATTTTGGTATTCTCAATTGTACTTATATTACAGAACTTCTCTTTCCTGTCCCTTATGAAGCTTGTTCTGAACATATTTATATATTAATCTTTCTTTGCAGGTTGTTCAAGCATGTAATAAAATGTTCTCATTCAAAAGCTTTAGTCAGTTTGAGCATGGTACGTTAAGAATCTTACATATACGCAAGTATATTAAATTCTCTTTATCTTTCTACATAATTGATCCTATTTTGTTATCAATTTTGATTTATTAATAAAACCTGATTATCAACTAGTTTCAAGTGTTCAGTCTTAAAAATAACGTTTTCATTTGAAATTTTAAGACATCAAATATCTGTTTAAGAACATCACTAGAAATGAGTCGACCAATCTTGTATTAACCTTCTCCACGATTTGACATTATCACCTGATAACGCCATACAAGGTCAATGCTTTCTTAATAACACAAGTTCAAAACCCTCCTGACAACCCCACACAAGTTCAAAACCCTCCTGACATCCCCACACAAGCTCAAAAGCCTTCCTGACAACACCACACAAGTTCAAAACCCTCCTGACAACCCCACACAAGTTCAAAACCCTCCTGACACCCCACACAAGCTCAAAAGCCTTCCTGACAACACCACACAAGTTCAAAACCCTCCTGACAACCCCACACAAGTTCAAAACCATCCTGACAACCCCACACAAGTTCAAAACCATCCTGACAACCCCACACAAGTTCAAAACCATCCTGAAAACCCCACACAAGTTCAAAACCCTCCTGACAACC